TGGCAGCATGTGTGAATAGCAGCATGTCTGAATGGCAGCATGTCTGAATGGCAGCATGTCTGAATGGCAGCATGTCTGAATGGCAGCATGTCTGAATGGCAGCATGTCTGAATGGCAGCATGTCTGAATGGCAGCATGTGTGAATAGCAGCATGTCTGAATGGCAGCATGTCTGAATGGCAGCATGTCTGAATGGCAGCATGTCTGAATGGCAGCATGTCTGAATGGCAGCATGTGTGAATAGCAGCATGTCTGAATGGCAGCATGTCTGAATGGCAGCATGTCTGAATGGCAGCATGTCTGAATGGCAGCATGTCTGAATGGCAGCATGTCTGAATGGCAGCATGTCTGAATGGCAGCATGTGTGAATAGCAGCATGTCTGAATGGCAGCATGTCTGAATGGCAGCATGTCTGAATGACAGCATGTGTGAATAACAGCATGTCTGAATGGCAGCATGTCTGAATGGCAGCATGTCTGAATGGCAGCATGTCTGAATGGCAGCATGTGTGAATAGCAGCATGTCTGAATGGCAGCATGTCTGAATGGCTGCATGTCTGAATGGCAGCATGTCTGAATGGCAGCATGTCTGAATGGCAGCATGTGTGAATAGCAGCATGTGAGAATGGCAGCATGTCTGAATGGCAGCATGTCTGAATGGCAGCATGTGTGAATAGCAGCATGTCTGAATGGCAGCATGTCTGAATGGCAGCATGTCTGAATGGCAGCATGTCTGAATGGCAGCATGTCTGAATGGCAGCATGTCTGAATGGCAGCATGTGTGAATGGCAGCATGTGTGAATGGCAGCATGTGTGAATGGCAGCATGTGTGAATGGCAGCATGTCTGAATGGCAGCATGTCTGAATGGCAGCATGTGTGAATAGCAGCATGTCTGAATGGCAGCATGTCTGAATGGCAGCATGTCTGAATGGCAGCATGTCTGAATGGCAGCATGTCTGAATGGCAGCATGTCTGAATGGCAGCATGTCTGAATGGCAGCATGTGTGAATAGCAGCATGTCTGAATGGCAGCATGTCTGAATGGCAGCATGTCTGAATGGCAGCATGTCTGAATGGCAGCATGTCTGAATGGCAGCATGTCTGAATGGCAGCATGTGTGAATAGCAGCATGTGTGAATGGCAGCATGTCTGAATGGCAGCATGTCTGAATGGCAGCATGTGTGAATAGCAGCATGTCTGAATGGCAGCATGTCTGAATGGCAGCATGTCTGAATGGCAGCATGTCTGAATGGCAGCATGTGTGAATGGCAGCATGTCTGAATGGCAGCATGTCTGAATGGCAGCATGTGTGAATAGCAGCATGTCTGAATGGCAGCATGTCTGAATGGCAGCATGTCTGAATGGCAGCATGTCTGAATGGCAGCATGTGTGAATAGCAGCATGTCTGAATGGCAGCATGTCTGAATGGCAGCATGTCTGAATGGCAGCATGTCTGAATGGCAGCATGTCTGAATGGCAGCATGTGTGAATAGCAGCATGTCTGAATGGCAGCATGTCTGAATGGCAGCATGTCTGAATGGCAGCATGTCTGAATGGCAGCATGTCTGAATGGCAGCATGTCTGAATAGCAGCATGTCTGAATGGCAGCATGTCTGAATGGCAGCATGTCTGAATGGCAGCATGTCTGAATGGCAGCATGTGTGAATGGCAGCATGTGTGAATGGCAGCATGTGTGAATGGCAGCATGTGTGAATAGCAGCATGTCTGAATGGCAGCATGTCTGAATGGCAGCATGTCTGAATGGCAGCATGTCTGAATGGCAGCATGTCTGAATGGCAGCATGTCTGAATGGCAGCATGTCTGAATGGCAGCATGTCTGAATGGCAGCATGTGTGAATAGCAGCATGTGTGAATGGCAGCATGTGTGAATGGCAGCATGTCTGAATGGCAGCATGTGTGAATGGCAGCATGTCTCAATGGCAGCATGTCTCAATGGCAGCATGTCTGAATGGCAGCATGTCTGAATGGCAGCATGTCTGAATGGCAGCATGTCTGAATGGCAGCATGTCTGAATGGTAGCATGTCTGAATGGCAGCATGTCTGAATGGCAGCATGTGTGAATAGCAGCATGTCTGAATGGCAGCATGTCTGAATGGCAGCATGTCTGAATGGCAGCATGTCTGAATGGCAGCATGTCTGAATGGCAGCATGTCTGAATGGCAGCATGTCTGAATGGCAGCATGTCTGAATGGCAGCATGTGTGAA